ATAACAAGGCTACATGGGGACACACAAGTAGATAGGTGTCAGCATGTCACAAATACCCATAGTGACACTCTCGGACCAATAGTACTGGATACTGTATGGATGATGTAAACAAACCTCTAGATATATTTAAAAAAATATCAATAAAGCATTTTTTATTATTCAATACAGCTTAGAATATAATTTTATTAATCAACAGAGTACAGGGTAACAATTTACATGTTTGTCAAAATTGGTAAATTATTCATTTGCTTTCCAGCTGCCATGGGACCTGTCCCTATTGGAGACATAAAGTAGGATGCAAATTGATCCCTAATATGTGTACTTGTCTGCTGCCCAAACCCAAGTCCAATGAGCTCTTTTTCATATTGTGTACTAATAATCTTCAAGGAGGAATCCATTGCGCGGCCCTAACAAAGTGTGCAGGGGGCACATGCAGCGTTAAACCAGCACAGATTGCAATTTTTCATGTTCAAGAAAGACTTATGGGAGTGTGTGCAAGAAGCTGCCATTTGTTAGACAAAATTCCAAATGCACATTCAACAACTCTATGTGCATGTTGTTAGCTGATAATTGAACACTCTATTCTGCACAGTTAGATTGTGACTCGAATAGGGCCACGCAGATGTTCACAAAACCAGGGCAAAGGCTCATCCCCACCAAAAACACTGAGTAGAGGAAGGCCATTTGTGCAGGAGAGGACTTGCTGTCAGAAAGGTCCAGCCTATTTGTATGCAGCATCTGTCCAAATGAAGAAGGCCAAAAATGCTCGAGCAGAGCTGCTCAACATGATCCAATATTATTATAACAAAAGCCATAATTTGCATCAGCCACTGTCATTAAAAAAAAATGAAAAATATTTTCATGTAATCAAAGTATTGGCTTCCACTGGGGGGGGGTGCCATTGGCTTTATATTCACCCATGTGTTTCCATCAATCACTCCCAACACAATTTAGGAAATTTCAGCATTGCCAGAAAATTCAGAGATCTGTGACCATTCTTCTGTTATTAGTTTTTTTTTCATAACAACATCCTTCAACACGCATTCCATAATAGCAAAACAGGGTGTCACAGACTATGTAACTTGTTATAGATTTTCCAACCAGAAAGGCATAGTGTAGACTAACCAATGATTGTCAAGTTGCTAGGTACCTAAAAAGAAATATAATTAAAAAATTTTAATTTTTTCGGTTTTGAACAGAGTAAAGCTTTCTGAAAAGCAAGTGGAGAGTCTGTGGGAGATGCCTACATTCAACACCCAATGTCAGCTCTAAGGGAGTCTAGGAGTGGATGTCCATACCAAAGACCTTGGAAATTTCTTCGACCAATTGTGGCTTTAGGGAGGTAGGTATCATCTGTACATATTGTCATTAAAAAAATTTAAATATCAACTTCAAACAAAGATTTTCTATTTTCAGTACAGAAAGCTGATGGAGGATATTATGAAAAGGAGGATTTGGATCCAAATGCATAGGTGTAGCCTCAGGGGTTGCAGGGGTTGCATCTGTGACCCTGTCCATGCTCCAGAGGGCCTAGGCGCCGCTGCAGGTCCAATACAGTGATCCTGCACTGAATGCACAGCCACCTAGTGTAACAGATAGTCGGATCACTGCATTTATGACTGCCCTAGTTAAGCAACAAAGGGTCTTTTTGAGAGCCTCCAATCAAGTCTTTTATACTCTGTCAGGGCTTCTTGTGAGACTTGGTGCCATTGCTCTGCCCTCCTTCCTGTGCATCCAAGGAGCTGACAGGTCAGCACATTAGTCCAGGATTTCAGGAATGTTTGCAGAGAGAGCTGGACATACAACTTCCTTTTGAACACAGGGATCCTCGGTGTGCAATCCAGTGAGACAGCAAGCTTTAACTCTTGCCAGTCTGAGCATGGTAATTAGTGCAACATCTCAGCCACATTTTTGGGGGACCAGTGTGCAAGTGCTAAGAAGGCAATGTGTAGGGGTAGGGGGATGGAGGCCAGTGTGTACATTGAGGGGCAATGCGTAGGAAGGGGGTTATGTGTACACGGGAGGGGGGTACATTTTGGTAAGGAGGGGGCATTGTGTAAAGGGAGGGGATATTATGGTGCAGGAGGGGGATTACTGTGTACAGGGAGGGGGGTAATATGTACAGGAGGGGGGCATTGTGTCAGTAGGGGCACTGGGTTAAGGGAGGTGGGGTAAAATGTAAAGGAGGGGGTAATATGTACAGGAGAGGGCACTGTGTACAGGTAGGGGGTAATATGTACAGAAGGGGATAATATATACAGGGAGAGAGTTTTATGTACCGGATGGGGCATAGTGTACAGGGAGGGGATAATATGTACAAAAGGGGGCATTGTGTACAGTGAGGGGGTAATATGTAATAGGAGGGGGCATTGTGTACAGGTAGGGGGTAGTATGTACAAGAGGGGGCATTGTGTACAGCGAGGGGATATTATGTACAGGAGGGGATACTGTGTACAGGGAGGGGGGTAATAAGTACAGGATGGGCATTGTGTTCAGGGAGGGGGTAATGTGTACAGGAGGGGGCCCACTGTGTTAAGGGAGGTGGAGTAAGGTGTAAAATGAAATGGGTAACATGTAAGGGGAGGATTGTAATACTGTAAAAGGGGGGTAATATGTACAAGGGAGGGTGTGAATATATGTACAAGAGGTGCTAATATATAAAGGGAGTGGGAGGAAATATGTACAGGAGGAGGTAATATTTATAGGGGGGGTGTAATATGTAAAGGAGGAGGGGAATTGTGTATAGGGCGAGGGGTTAATATGTATAGGAGAGTGGTAATATGTAGAGGAGGGGGACATTGTGTACAGAATGGAGGTCATTATGTTACAGAAGGGGGGCATTGTGTACAAGGAAGGGGTATTGCACAGGAGGGGGTAATAGTACACGAGGCTGGTTAATCATGTAATAGGTGAGGGGGGGTACATGTAACAGGAGGGGGCAATTGTGTACAGGGAGGTGGAGGGTAATACTATGTACAGGAGAGGGTATATGTATAGGGAAAAAAAAACCACACCCCCCCCCCCCACACAAAAAACCAAAAAAAAAAAAAAACACAAAAACAAAAGGGAGAGTAAATATGTACAGGGTAAGGGGGTGGGTAATATGTATAGGAGGGGTAATATGTACAGGAGAGGGCATGGAGTTCAGGGAAGGGGGTTATATGTGTACAGGGAGGGGGTATTGTATGTGAGGGAGGGAACAGTTTTTGTGTACAGAAGGGAGAGCATTATGTACAGAAGAGGGATTGTGTACATTGAAGGGTATAGTACGTATGTGCAGGAAGGAGAAATAATGTACATCAAGGGGGCATTGTGCACAGGGAGGGGTAATATGTACAGGAGGGGGCATTGTGTACAGGGAGGGGGTAGGTACTATGTACGGGAGGGGCATTGTGTACAGCAAGAGGGTAATATGTATACAGGAGAGGGCATTGTGTACGAGGCGTGGGTAATATGTACAGGAGAGGGCATTGTGTACAGATAGGGGGTACATATGTACAGAAGGGTTAATATATTCAGGGAGGTGGTGGTTTTTATGTACGGAGGGGGCATATAGTGTCTACAGGGGAGGAGATTTAATCATGTACAAAAAGGGGCATTGTGTCAGTGTGAGGGGGGTACAGGAGGGGGCATTGTGTACTGGTAGGGGGTAGTATGTACAAGAGGGGCTTGTGTACAGCGAAGGAGTGTAATATTGTATAGCGAGGAGGTCATATTTACAGGAAGGATATTATGTTCGGAGGTGTATTGTACAGGGAGGCCATTGTGTACAGGGGGGGGGGGTAATGTCTACAGGAGACGGTAATCTTAATACAGGCGGGGAATTGTGTAAGGAGGGGTATTATGTATAGGAGGGGGGCTAGGGGGCTTTGTTTACAAGGAGGGGGATTAATATGTACAGGAGGGATGATATTTATATGGGAGGGTAATATGTTCAGGGAGATGTATACAGGTAGGGGGTAGTATGCACAAGAGGGGGCATTGTGTACAGTGAGGGGGTAGTATGTACAAGAGGAGACATTGTGTACAGCGAGGGGGTAATATGTACAAGTGGGGGCATTGTGTACAGGGAGGTAGTAATATGTACAAGAGGGGGCATTGTGTACAGGGAGGGGGTAATATGTATAGGTGGGACCACTGTGTACAGCGAGGAGGTAAAATGTACAGGAAGGAGTAATATGTACAGGGAGGGGCAGTGGTGTATTTACTCATTGTGCTGCCCTAGGCAACACTAAAATTGGGCACCCTCCCATGCCTCCACCAACACCCCACCCCACGGGTGGCAGCACAACTCTTAGAAAGGGCCGTCTTTAATATTGATTGGACCCTGGCAAACATTTTCTTGCCGACCCCCCCCCATTCAATATTGTTTTTCACCCCAACATCACCAAAAACAATCACACACACATAGACTTATCTAAAAAAAACTTTAGTAATGTAAACATAAAGAACAAGTCCACACTCACTGGTTGCCAGAGGTTACTACACATCCTTACTGCTCAATCATTGGTTGCTAGAGGTAATTGCACATCATTACCGATTGCTAGAGGTTATTACACATTATAGCTGCTCACTGATAGGTTGCTATAGGTTACTGTATATTACCACTCAATGATTGGTTGCTAGAGGTTACAACACATCATTACTCCAGACATACTACAGGAGACGGTCAGAGACTTCAGACATACTACAGGAGATGGTCAGAGACTGTGGACATACTACAGGAGACGGTCAGAGACTGCGGACATACTACAGGAGACGGTCAGAGACTGCGGACATACTACAGGAGATGGTCACAGACTGCGGACATACTACAGGAGATGGTCACAGACTGCGGACATAGTACAGGAGGCAGTCAGAGACTGTGGACATCATACAGTAGATGACCAGAGACTGCAGACACAGTACAGATGACCAGAGACTGCAGACATAGTACAGGAGATGATCAGAGACTGCAGACATAGTACAGGGGGATGACCAGAGACTGCGGACACAGTACAGGAGATGACCAGAGACTGCGGAAATAGTACAGGAGATGACCAGAGGCAGATAGTACAGGAGATGATCAGAGACTGCAGACCACAGTACAGGAGATGACCAGAGACTGCGAGACATAGTACAGGAGATGACCAGAGACTGCGGACATAGTACAGGAGATGACCAGAGACTGCGGACATAGTACAGGAGATGACCAGAGACTGTGGAAATAGTACAGGAGATGACCAGAGACTGCAGACAGGGGATGACCAGAGACTGCGGGACATACTACAGGGGATGACCAGAGACTGCGGACATACTACAGGAGATGGTCAGAGACTGCGAACATAGTACAGGGGATGACCAGAGACTGCGGACATAGTACAGGAGATGGTCAGAGACTGCGATCACAGTACAGGGATGAGCAGAGACTGCGGACATCGTACAGTAGATGACCAGAGACTGCAGACACAGTACAGGAGATAACCGGAGACTGTGGACATACTACAGGAGACATTCAGAGACTGCAGACGTACTACAGGAGACGGTCAGAGACTGCAGATGTCAGAGGGTGCACCACCCTGTGTACTGCCTGATCTCCTATCCCTGTATATTGCCTGCTGAACACTGCACACATAATGATCCTTCCTGATCGCCAAAACAGGCACTCTCAGTGTTTCCGCACATCCAATCTACTTACTGCTATTTGACACCGACAGGTCCCTGGCTCCCAGTGTAGGGCAGAGCACCCCCCACCCGCACCTCACCTCACTAGTCACAGCTCCAGTTGTTAGGGGGCAGAGTGATCAGCTGTTAGAGGCATGTAGCGATCACGTGACAGCTGGATGGGACTCGGGATACAGGAGAGGCAAAGGAGCACTAAGTCAGCAGATTCAAGACATAGCCAAGCAGGCATCCTCCCGCACCCGCTCTGCCACCGCACTGCTCAAGTCAAACTCCCCCAAGTAGCATTCAGCTAACTGCAGCTATGGTTCTCAGTCCTCAAACCAACGGCTGCCCCCACCTCAAACCCCAACCCACCCCTTCGGTAGCAACACTGCTCTCCCCCACCGTCAGCACCCCCCCTACACACACACTCCTGCAGTGAGCAACTTGACGGATCACTGGCAGTACTTCGCTAGGTCCCTGTCCCTGCAGCTTGTGCCAACTCTTCCGGGGGCGGCGCCACCCCCCTGAAAATTGCCGCCTTAGGCAAACGCCTTGTTTGCCTCGTGGTAAATACGCTGCTGGGGAGGGGGCTAACATGTACAGGAGGGAGCACTGTGTACAGCAAGGAGGTAATATGTATAGGTGGGACTATTGTGTACAGGGAGGGGATACAATGTACAGGAGGGGGTAATATACAGGAGGGGGGTATGTACAGGAGGGGGTAATATATACAGGGAGGGGGTTTTATGTACCGGAGGGGGCATAGTGTACAGAGAGGGATAATATGTACAAAAGAGGGCATTTTGTACAGTGAGGGGGTAATATGTATAGGAGGGGGCATTGTGTACAAGGAGGGGGTAATATGTACAGGAGGGGGCACTGTGTATAGGGAGGGGGTAATATGTATAGGAGGGGGCATTGTGTACAAGGAGGGGGTAATATGTACAGGAGGGGGCACTGTTTATAGGGAGGGGGTAATATGTATAGGAGAGGGCATTGTGTACAAGGAGGGGGGTAATATGTACAGGAGGGGGCATTGTGTACAAGGAGGGGGTAATATGTACAGGAGGGGGCACTGTGTATGGGGAGGGGGTAATGTGTACAGGAGGGGGCAGTGTGTACAAGGAGGGCGTAATGTGTACAGGAGGGGGGATTGTGTACAGGAAGAGGGTAATATGTAGAGGGTGGTGTGTGTAGGGGGGCAGTGTGTACATGTAGGGGGTAATGTACACAGGAGAGAGCAGTAATGTGCACAGGAGGGAGCAGTGGCTACAGGAAGAGTTTTCTTTCATCATTCAAATTCAGCATAACTAGCCTGTCAGATTTTTTTAAAATGCAATCACTGCCAGCGCCTATAGCCACTAACAGTGAGCATTTGTGTTCTGACTGTGTTGATGGGGTAATCGAGCAATTTTCTTTCCTTCCACCTGTGGTGGAAAGAAAGAAAATTATATCACCCGTCAGCTGCTTAACTCTTTAGCCACTTTAAGTATCTTGGCACACGGTGGGAGTATCTTTCTCTCTTTCACGAAACAAACATGACGTAACAGTGGCTGCTGCCACAAAAGATGGCATCTCAGCATCACTCGTCTTTGCAGAGCACGATGCACTACACAACACAGCAAAGAACAAAAAGAACACGAAAACACATGCAAAATCGCACGACAAAACACGTGAAGGAAACTCAAAGATGCTCAAAAGTGACGCCAACGTGAAACTTAGGTTTGTCGTCCCGCCATCCCAGAGAATGATGTGGTGGGCATCAGAGGGCTTTGTGAGCCAGGGGTTGAGTACCCCTGATTTAAAGGAATTTTTAATGTTGTATTTTCAGCATTACTAAAATCGATACTCCCCACCAAACATGTACCCCCAGGCAGGCACTAGCCCCCATGCCATTTGGCCTTTTGCGAGTGGGCAAAAAAATGCAGTGTTCGTAGCCATGTAGCCTTTTTTTTTTACAGATCTGAACACAGGTGCATTGTTGCACAATGCATAAAGCAGTGATGCGGTCAGAAAAAAAAAGGAAATATATGAGTGTATAAACACATTTACACACCTATATGTGTGTATAGATCTTTACAGAACATAACTTTTTTTTTTACTCAAAATCTTTCTGCCAGCAAGATCCTGTTTATAAACATCAGTAAAATGGCCGTTACTGTTCTTTAACATTCAGTTGTCATTGACTTCAATGCAGTTCAAATTCATCACCCAAACATGCCCCAAACTGAACCCAGGTATGTTTGGCTCATTACGGCTCTTGATTTTGAAACCTGAAAACAAACTGGATGCTGTGAGTGACAGCTACATTTTTGCCCAGGAAATGTGAAATACATAGAGGAAGATCTATTAAAGCAAATAGGCTGTTCACTTTGCAATGGAATTTTCCCTTAGCCTAGTGAATGAGTGAAATTGACTTTGCAAAGAATAATCAATCATGTGCAAGGAAAATAAATAAACAAAAACTGTATTTTTGCTTGCACATGAGTGGATAATGGAAATTAGTAGAACTTTACCTCATTCACTATGTTATGGGAATAGTCCTTTGCAATGTGAGCAGCGTATATTAGTAAATCATCCCCACAGAGTTTACTTATACACTATATTGCCAAAAGTATTAGGACACCCCTCCAAATCATTGGATTCAGGTGTTCCAATCATCTCCATGGCCACAGGTGTATGAAATCAAGCACCTAGGCATGCAGACTGCTTCTACAAACAATTGTGAAAGATTGAGTAGCTCTCAGGAGCGCAGTGGATTCAAGCGTGGTACCGTAATAGGTTGTCACCTGTGCAATAAGTCCATCCATGAAATTTCCTTGCTACTAAATATTCCACGGACAACTGTTAGTGGTATTGTTAATGCCTGAGGTAGTGAGCTCTATTGATCCTCAGCTTGGGATTCCCCAGGGCGCGGAGTCTAAGCCCCAGCCTGCTTGTTCACTAGAGCCCCTGATGGTGGGGATGGACTTGCAGCAAGCTGGGACCAGGTACACCCAGCTGACGTGGAGGAGACCGCTACCGGGAACAGAGTATAACAGGAGAAGACAGACGGAATTCAGTAGGCAAGCCAAGGTCAGGACAGGCGGAAAACAAGCAAGGTCAGGGGACAAAGCTGGGGTCGGTACACAAGTAGACAACATAGGAATCAACAGCAGAAACACACGGGAGCTCCAATAACTAAGAAGTTGCTCAGGCACAGTGGCCTAGTCTGAGCACATCTTATATAGACAGGCAGACAAGAAGGCAGGACAGGAAGTGATGGAAGGGAAGGAAATAAAACCCAGAGGACAGCAGAAGATGCCCATAGATGAGCACAGACAAACACATGAGAAAGGATCAGGAACAGAACTGCAGCAAGAAGGTAAGAACACAAACAAAACTTCAGGCTAACTTGTGATAGGTATTATAACAAAGTAGAAGAAACTGGGAACAAAAGCAACTCAGCCACAAAGTGATAGGCCACGTAAAATGAAGAGCAGGGTCAGTGCATGTTGAAGAGCACAGTGCCCAGAACTCACCAACTGTCTGCAGAGTCAGTAGCTAAAGACCTCAAACTTCATGTGGCCTTCAGATTAGCACAACAGTGCATAGAGAGCTTCATGGAATGGGTTTCCATGGCCGAGCAGCTGCATCCAAGTCTTACAACACCAGGTGCAATGCAAAGCGTTGGATGCAGTTGTCACAAGTTAGCCTGCAGCCTCTTGTTTGATTATTCTTGCCGCTCCTGATTACTTCACATATGTGTTTGTCTGTGCTCTCTGGGCATTGTCTGCTATTCTCTGGGTTTTATTTCCTTCCTTTCCATCACTTCCTGGCCCGCCTCCTAGTTTGCTTGCGTGACATGCTCAGTCTATCCCACTCTACCTGAGCAACGTCTTAGTTGTTGGAGCTCCCTTGTGTTTCTACTGTGAATCCTTTATTGTCTATCTGTGTACCAACCCAGCTTCATTCCTGCCCATGCTTGTTTTCCGCCTGTCTTGACCTCGGCTTGCCTACTGGATTCCTTGTGTCTTCTCCCGTTGTACCCTGCTCCCGCTAGCGGTCTCCTCTACCTCAGCTGGGTGTACCTGGGGGCCACGACCTGGTCCCAGCCTGCTGCAAGTCCATCCCCACCATCAGGGTCCCTGGTGAACAAGCAGGCTGGGGCTTAGACTCAGCGCCCCTGGGAACCCCAAGATGTGGATCAAAAGAGCTACCACAGGTGCTGACAGCAGTGGTGTAGATCACACCACCATTGGACTCTAGAGCAGTGAAGACGTGTTCTCTGGAGTGACGAATCACACTTCTCTGTCTGTCAATCTTATGGACATGTCTGGGTTTGGTGGTTGCCAGGAGAACAATTTTTTCCTGACTGCATTGTGCTAAGTGTAAAGTTTGGTGGAGGGGGGATTATAGTGTGGGGTTGTTTTTCCACGGTTGGGCTTGGCCCTTAGTTCACGTGAAGGGAACGCTTAAGCATCAGCATACCAATACATTTTGAACAATTTCATGCTCCCAACTTTATTGGAACATTTTGAGGATGGCCCCTTCCTGCTGCAACATGACTGTGCACCAGGGCATAAAGCAAGGTCCATAAAGACATGGATGAGCAAGTTTGGGGTGAAGGAACTTGGCTGGCCTGCTCAGAGCCTTGTCATTAACCTGATAGAACACCTTTGGGATGAGTTAGAGCAGAGACTGCGAACCAGGCCTTCTCGTCCGACATTGGTGCCTGACCCCACAAATACACTTCTGGAAGAATGGCCAAACATTCCCATAGACACACTCCTAAACTTTGTGGACAGCCTCCCCAGCAGAGCTGAAGCTGTTATAGCTGCAAAGGGTGGGCCAACTCAATATTGAACCCTACAAACTAAGACTGGGATTCCATTAAAGTTCATGTGTGTGTAAAGGCAAGAATCCCAATACTTATGGCAATATAGTGTACATCAGCTGGCTCAATTCCATATATTACATGCATGAACTGTAAATA